CCCCGGGCGGGCCGAGGGCGCCGCGCGGAGAGCAGGTGACACCGGCGGGGACGGCGACAAACCCTTGGGCGTACCCCCGAGCGGGAGGGACGAGCCTCCCAAAACCGGTGGAGTGGACAACCCACACACACACACACACATCGGGGGGATGCCCCCCGGCCTGGGAGGTGAGCCCCACACCGGAGGGACCCCCAGCTGGAGAGAGGAACCCGCGCTGGAGGGATGAACCCCTCCAGGCTGGAAACGGGAACCCCGGGCCGGAGGGGCGAACCCCTCTGTTGGGGGTGGGGGACACCCCCGGAGCACAGTCCCTGCCACCGGGGCTTGGACACCCCCTGCGCCCAAAACCTTGAGCCCCATCCCGTACCCGGGCAGGGTTCACACAGTGGTGGGGGCCCCGCTGTAACTTTGCTCCTTATGAGGACCAACAAAACCTGCCATTTTTGACTCGCGTCCCTTAAAAGGCAGTGCTCTTCCCCTCGCCGCAAAGCACCGTCCTTTTGCTGCAGGGGCCTGGGTCTGCCCCCCCCAGCGCTGCCCCTTGTCTGCCCGGCGCCCCTGCGAGCTCCGGGGCAGGGCACTCAGACGGGGAGAAGGGGTGAAAGCGCCCGGTTGGTTATTTTTTCCCCGCCAGGCCTCTCGACGCAGCCCATCTGGCGCAAGCTGTGGGACGATGTGATGAAAACCAGGCCGCCCAACTCGGAGGTGAGGGGACGCTGCCGGTGGGAGAAGGGGCACGACGCAGGCACCCCATTTCCGACATCTTCCGCAAGGTTTCATTTTGAAGCCTGCCGTTGCTCCTGGCCACCTCCGAGCGATTGCTGGCGCTGGTTTATAAGCATTCGTAGAGCTCAGGACCAAGGCATGACCTGGTATTACAGTCATTTTGGGAAACAGGGTTCATAAAAGGAACTGCAGCGTACAGCCACACGCTTCATCTCACAACAGCGAGTTTGCCAAAGGAATAAATCCTGTCTTTAGAGATGTAATTCTTAGGGAAACAGAGGATAAAAACAGTATCTTATATCGTGCTTACACTTATGCTGGCAAAAAAATGTGCTGATGTCTTAGAAAGCACTAGAAAAATACTTACAGAAGACAGTGAGTTTGGAAGAATGGTTTTACGTAGGAAAACTGAAGCAGCTCCATTGATTCAGCATCGCAGAAGAATCATTAACAGACAACTTTATCACAGCCTATAAATAGACACTCGGGAGGAAAATTCCTGATGATGTGGTTTTTAATAGGCAAAAGCACGGCTTAGCTTCAAACCACTGAGTATGTTTAAATTAGGCCAGAAGCAGGATGAAGAGAGCGCGATGGGAGTAGCTCTGTTCTTCAACAAATACACTGAGGAAGGATGTTGAGAACTGGAAAGGTAGTCTCAGTTGTGCTAGCAGTAGGTTTTTTTGGACACCACATTTACCAGGTTAGCAGACAGCAGTAATTTAACTTAAAAAGAACAAGAAAAATTGTGGCTGACTTTTTGTTAATACGGCCCTGTTGTTTAACTGCAGAATATAACCTGCTGGAGGAAGAAGTTCCTTGAAACGTTCTTCTCAAACGTTCTTCACGGTGTTCTGGATGTTTCCTCTGACTGGCGTCTCAACGACCATCAATTTTCGCCGCTGCTCCACAGCTCCCCACACGTTTCCCAGCTTACCCTCTGCAACATGCTGCAGGGCGCGGTGGAGCTCACTGCTGAGCACAACCAGAAAGTGCTTGAAAACCTGGCTGGCTCCCTGCGGATCCTGAAGTTCCAGCACCTCCTCTCCTCCGACCAGTCCATCAGGCGTTCGCTGGTTTTACTTCTTCACCGGCTGATTCACCACGGCTCTGTCAGCCAGGTGTCCATGTATTCCTGGCCTGTTCCCGACACGGTTCTTCTTGTTCTCATTTTGAGCATGAGCGCTGGGTTTTGGCGCTCGGGAAATGCCCTCGTGTATCACAGCAGCCCATGTGGCCTTTGCAGAGAGGAGGACAAAGCCCAAAGCCAGGAGTCAGCGCAAGAACGAGCAGAGAGGGGCCGTTACGATGAGAGGGAGTGGAGCAATGGTGAGAACCAGAAGGGATCCCCCAGGGCCCCGGAGGAGGCTGATGTGGAGGTGAATGGATACGGGGCTGACGCTCACCTGAACTCTGTCCTCTCCAGACCGAGAAGTCCTCCTCTGCAAAATCAAGTGTGTGAGGAGGCAAGCAGCGAGGTGCCTTGTGACGACACCAGCATTCAGGGAGGATCTTCTCCTCGTTGCATCTCAGACCAGCTGTCCTGTCACCCCGTTCTTCGAAAGACACGCAGACGGCTGAAATCTGCAGTGGGGAAGAAACGTCGCTGCCTCAGACGAAGCAGGGGACCATATGCTGACCCAGAAGACCTGTATGATTTTGTTTTTACTGTTGCTAGAGAGGATAATTCAGGGTTACTCGACAAAAACAGCGCCACAGAGGGAGAAAACGCTGAGAACTGGTCTACTTCCTCCCCAGGATCTCCGTGCACTGGCCATGCTGGCTGTAAGAAAAGAGGAGGATCTGCTGGGATCTTTTCTCTGAAAGCTGCTCACCGCTTCCGAAGCGTGTCCACGCTGGAATTGTTCTCCATTCCTTTGACTGGGGAGACATGTCGGACTCTGAGTAACCTGCTGAGCTCCTGGGTGTCTCTAGAAAACTTGGTTCTGTCTTACAACGGTTAGTGGTGTGAACAGGTTGCTTCCTTCCAGCCTTGGTCTAACGGTCTGACTTATTGCTCGGGTTTACCCTGATGTTATTGTTACTGGAATGGGCGTTGTAAGAGTACCTGATCTTGAGAACGGCATCAGTAGAGATGGTTAATGAGTGTGAGGACTTTTTGGGGGGAGAGAATGGGGCCCTTCTGCACCAGAACAGCCCTTGGCCGTGTGCTTAAATGTCATCCAGAGAGGGCGAAGGGAAGAGCCAGATCTCCATCTCCCGTATACACAGTCTAGCTTAAGAACGTGTGGACAAAGCAGTCTGTGAGTTTAGCTTTTGGCTTAGGTTGCTTGGCCGTTGGTGCAGCTCCAGCTGCGTGTGCGTTGGTGTCTGTACAGGCACAGCTAACACCTTTCTGTACAAATGCTGTTCCAGGCCTGGGTGCTGACATCTTCTGCATCCTCTCTGGGCTCCGGGCCCTCTCCCGCCATTCGGACTGCCACCTCCGCGTGGTGCGTGTGAGCGACGTCTTCTCCCACATGCCTTGCATGGAGCTTGTTCGCTGCATCCTGAGCGCCTTTCCCCAGCTCCACACACTCTCAGTCAGCTTCGACCTCAAAAACCAGCTGGAGGGGAACAGGCCAGAGGGGAATCCAAGCTGCAGTGAGGTAGAAATCCCAGGTAGGAATCATCATTCTGAGTGATGACCAGGATGTGGCAGGCAGATAGAGCTGTAAAAGCTGGGCACGCAGATTTGAACGCTACACTGTTACAGTGGTGTGTAATTAAGCAATTACAGCCTCACCTTTCTGATTTAGATGGCGTTGCAGTTTGTCATTTCCAGTCTGTGACGTGCTCGGTGGAGCCCGAGTCTCAGACAAAGCATTTGATTACTGTATGCCAACCTGCTGGAACATCAGCTTTGTACAGGGCCAGTCATAACCTGCTAGGAGTGACTGTCCACACAGCCCACGGGGAGCGTATCCCACCAGATCTGTAAATTGGTTGGGAGCTTCTGCTTTGTCCATCCTATTGACTGTGAGGCTCTAAGCCTTAGGTGGACCCTTAAGCAGAGGGAAAGCATCTCTTGATCATCGCAATACCACAGGCGATGGCAAAGCCGTGCCCAAGCCTCTGGATTATAGTCTGGGAGCTATAGCAGCGTGTTCTCAGCTCACAGGTCTCTCATCACCCTTATTAGCCCTTGAATGACCAGAAAAGCAGTAAGCAAAGCCTGAGCGAGTATGGAGTGGAGTCAGTGAAGAGCTGTGCTCTGGGAAGACGCTGACTAGTTTGTGCATAAAGGGTGACCTTTTCTCAAGCACTGTTTCACTGCCAGAACGCAGTAGAAATTGGTGGCCCTGTGGTCTGGCAGCAGTCCTGAAATGAGCCTTGGGTGATTTACCCTACCGTAGGTCTGAGTTGCCATAGAGCTCTGTGAGGCAGAGCGCGTCGCATAGGCACTTTCTGCCAACCTAAACAATGGTCATGTCAGGCACGTGGACTGCTTGCTCGCTCTAGGACCTAGCTATGTTGAAGACGGGCCCTCCAGACCAAGCTCCTTCATTGTTGTTTGTTTTTCTTCCCTTAGAGAGCTGCCTGGAGCAGCTAGAGATCCGATTTCCCAGGGAGCCTCTGCACACCGCGTTCCTGCTGCCAGTGCTCAAAGCATCAAAGTCCCTCCAGCAGTTGTCCCTTGACAGCGCCACGCTGCCCTGTTCTCAGGAGCTTGGGCTCCTTTTGGAGGTGCTCAAAGGTACTCTGCTAACCTGTAGGTATCACTGTGACACACAGAGTAGCTTCCTTGCTGTGATCTTCCATCCTTTAGCATGAAGGTGGACCCACTTAGGTGGGTCCATTTCTTCAGTGTGGACATCCTTGAAGTCTCCTGAGAAAAGGAAATGGGTGTCAGCCATCCCACTTTCTGTGCTGAGCATGTGAATGATCCTGCACAGCAGGATGGTTCCTTTTTAATTACCCACAATCCGGCATGAATTATCCACAGTCCAACTCGGTTTCTGGGCATTAACTAGTAGCTGTCAGGGTCTTTTTATCCCAAGGACGTACAGTACTTTACCTGAGAACTTGTTTTGCTTTTAGAGTGTAATCCAAACTTGAAGAAACTGAGCTTTCATGATGTGAACCTGGCTGAGCACCAGAAAGAAGTTCTGCTTTTGCTTCAGGATCCCGTCCTGCAAGGTACAGCAAACTCTGGGGTGCTGTTGCTTGGGAAGACGCTGCAGGTGGCTGCTTTTGGCCGGCTGACGTTTAAGAGGTGATCTTCGGATGTGTAAGGTTTAGCCAAACGTCACTGTCCCTGGAGCAGATCTGTAGCTGTTGGCAGAGTGGGAACGTGTCTGGTTCTCTTCTGAGAGAGGAGCAGCTGCAAAGCTTGCGTATGCTGCAGAGAAGAGTTCATAGTCTTGGCTATAAAAGATTTTTAACCTGCAGAGCAAGCACATCAGCCTTTCACT